CCAGACCATGATGCTGCCACCACCGTGTCTGACATGGATGGCGTGTTCAGGGTGATGAGCTTCCATGTTTGCTGGGACTCCCAGGAAACTTTAAACTAGACTTTTTATGGCTGTCTTTCAGAAATGTCTTCCTTCCATAAAGGCCAGATGTTTGAAGCATAGACTGGCTGTTGTCCAATGGACAGAGTCTCCCTCCTCAGCTCTAGATCTGTACAGTTCATCCAGAAAGATCCTGGTCCTGCATCTCTGATCAGTCTGAAGGTTCAGAGGGACGGCGGGCCTCCATAGGTGCCCAGTGGTCTGATTCTCCTTCCATTCCAATATTATCTCTGCTCAGAGCTCATTGGGATGTTTAGGATCCATCTTTAAACTTCTCCACAGTCTCATACCTGCCTGCTGTGTTCCTTGTTCTTCATGATGCTCTCTGCACTTTAAACAGTCGATCACAGGGCAGGAGCATTTATACAGAGACCTGATTCCAGGTGGATTCTATGGATCATCACCCATTTAGGTCAACGTTGGATCAATCATAGATCCTCAGTGGACAGAGTTTGCTGCACTTAGAGTAAAGGAGCCGATTCATTTTGCACTTACCACTCTTTGTTTTTTTTACTTCTAAGTTTCAATGTCCAAGAAATTTCCCTCCACTTCCTGATTGTGCCCCACTTGTTGTTGATTCTTAAAAAAATTAAACTTAATATATCTGTGCTTGAAGTCTGAAATGTGGCAAAAGGTTGAAAAGTTGAATGATGTTTGGGTCCATCCCTTCTTTGCATTGGTTCTGTGGTGAACACAACCAGTATTTTTGGAGAATACCATCCTACCGTCAGGAGAAATGCCAGCGGCTCGATAATGTGTCTTTTTCTCCACTGGAGCCCCTCCTCCTCAAAATGCCTATGAATAGAAATGATAGTGGACATATGTACTAAAGTCCTCAACAGAAACTTTAGCTTTTTGCTTTTCTCTAAAGGTACAAAGTTAACAATTCAGGTTAGCAAGGATGCTACCAATTTATTATTAAAATCGGGAGAAAAGATGTTAGAATTTGGATTTTCTAAATGACTTCCTGTCAAAACCCTTTTCTCTACAAGAAAGTGTTTCATAGCAAAGACTGCA